GGTCTTAAAATAAGTGAGGAGAATTTGCTACCTTTCTATCTATCAAAAAATGGATAGATATTCTAGTCTTCTCGGATAAGGACGAATAAACCGTAGGCCCCGTCTCCTGCAGGGTTAGGGGTAGGAAACGTTAATTTCCCACGCACGAGATTGCTTTGATGTGGATGTCCTCTCCTGGGGTGGGATGGGTGGGAATTGGCCCTGAAAAGCCCCCATGGGGAGTGGTCAACTAACGTATGTATGTCTGTATGAATGTATGTATGTATGTATGTTGACTAATATTGGTTTCGATTGTTCTTTGTCCGTGTTGATAACAAGACTGTGTAGTTAAAAAGTGAAAAATTTGATTTCTACTGGCAGATTTGGACGAATGTGCAAGCGGAAACCATGACTGCCATAAATACGGTGTTTGTCATAACGAGATCGGATCCTATACTTGTCACTGTCAGTTTGGATATGTAGGAAATGGAACGTGGTGTGAGGGTACAAAAGTTACACTACATTTTTCTCACCAAAAAGTATCTAAGATTCTTATTTCCCATAAGATGTCTGATGTTTGCTTGGTCTTGTCACAGACTAAAAAAAAACTTGAACTGCTATTGGTTCATGCTCTTAGTTTGCCTAATATGCAGCCCCTCTTTTTTTAGCTTTGACAGGCTAGTGGGATCTCTTAGACAAATTGTTTCACAGTACCTTTTTGTCGGTCCAAAGAAGCTCCGAGATAGCCGAACATATTTTCTTCAACTAAAGTTTCCTCTTTTCATTTACCGGTGTAGATCTGCTGTCAAAATTAAACATTTCCTTCCCAATGTTCCACACAATTTTATTTTTTTGTATGTCACTGCAGCTTGTCCAGAACATTCCGAATACATCGAGACGTCACCTAACGTTCATGAATGCTGGTGTAAATACGTTTACCCTGGAGAGCCAGAAGTTGATCCATGCAGAAGACAGACAGAAAGTAATACATGAGAGAAAGTAGAGTAGATCTATTTGTAAATAAAATTTAAAGAGAAGTCATTCATTCAATGAGTCAGTAGTGATACAGAATATTTCCCTTAACTTTGAATTGCGCCTCAGCAGCTTCTTGATGTAAACTAATAAAATAGAGGACTCCAAAATGAATTTGAAATTCCAATTTTCTTTTCTTTTTCCCCATTTTTAGGTGATCTGACTAATATTAAGGATTCAATAGCGGTTTTAATTCATGATGCTGATACACAACCAAGCAGCCCAATGAGGTTTAGACGAGACCAAACAAGAACACTGGTTGCATCTTTAAAAAAGGAAAACTTTCTTCTTCAAGAGGCCTCGTTCGCATGGAAGATAAGAAAACTTTCGCTATCACCTTTTAACATTTATGATCCGCCGGAGTTGCTCGTGCCCAACACTCTCGAGCTGAACATAAGACCAAACCTGCTCTCGACAGGACTTAAAGTGGTAACATTTGAGCTGCGAGAAGTACCGGGATCTGAATTAACTGCTCTAGATTTTGCTTTTATCGAGGTTCTCAATGCGGCTTTGGAAGTCTCTATCGCAGGAGGAACTGAGGTCGTTCGATCTATAAAGAGACTAATTACAGTGGATGCCACTTCTTCGTATGATACCGACAACCTGAGTGCTGGAAATTCCTCAGGACTGAAATATAATTGGTTTTGCTTAATAATAACCAAATCTAACGTCTCCCGAAGTTATACTCCGGCGTCTAACGTCAGTTTTCGAGGATTGGAGAGCATATACGACACACTTGTAAGAGCAGCTGCAAGTGGAACCCTCTTTCAGTTGCCAGATGATGTCTTTCTTCGTGGCAGAGAACGAGCCAAAGTTACCTTAGATAACAAAAAACTCACTCGCAATCAAACATACTACGTGGTTCTGACGGTAAGCAAAGATGTCCGCGTAGCAAGGGGCATACAGATCGTTCATGTTCGCGATGGACACGTACTCGTCATTCGTATTTTGTAAGTGCAGTATGTAGATACAAAATAGTTAATGGTTACGGAAGCAGTGTTGGAATCCTTCCTATCTAAGATGAGAGCATTCGCTCCGACGAAGGGCTAACGCTCGAAACGTCAGCTTTTGTAATCGTTACGGTGGCCAATTTACCATTTCAACTTTGTTGATACATCCAAATTAAGATGAGAGCAGCCCTCTTCCAAATTCTTAAAGCTAAAAATGAACAAATATAATAATTTAAAGTCTACTAACCCTTGCTCAGGAGCGATAAATTTATTTATTTTTCGTAAGGAGGTCGAAAATCTATATCGCTATCTCATCAATGACTCTCCAGCCTCGACACAAACGTTCAATTGGTTTATGTTAGCATAGCTGTAGTTACAGACAATAGCCGCGCAAATAATAATTTGATTGAATGGTGGCTTGGTTGTGTATTTAAAACTACTACTTCTTATAAATAAGTAGCATTCGTTTCCCTGCAAGTACGATTAACAAGGACGAATACAGGAGGTTCAGTGGGCAGGAATATCATTTCGTATTATTTATTTTCTTTTTGTTTGTACAGGTGCACCATGAACTGTGACTCACCAGCCAGCGTGTCATCTCGTAACTCCTTAAGAACCGACTGCGCTTCAATTCGTTGTCCTGTGTCCCTCAAGTATGGATGGAGCCTGCTGAAAAATAATGGAAGCAATTCTCACCCCCAATGGTCTACTCAGATACACTTTAAAGATCTCCTGGGTACAAAAGTTGATTCGGCAAACCTTGTGATTAAAGAACAAAAGCTTCTACCCGGGTCTTCCTACAAAATCAAGCTAAACGTTCTATCTCCCGAAGGATCGTTTGGCTCAGCCGTATACCAATTTGACACAGTGGCAAGTCCATCAGGAGGAACATGCCATGGTGCACAGTTGGACAGGAAAGATGTAGGATCTTGGGTGAACATTACCTGTCAAGGTTGGAAAGATAAACATACACCTCTCAGCTATGAATTCTTCCGGGAGTTAGCAGATGGAGAACTCGACATGCTGTCCTATGGAGTTTGGTCGTACAGTGTTGTTTACATTCCACCTTTAGATGAAGATGTCGTTCGGTTTAAAGTTGCAGTTGTTAATTCTTTGAGAGCAGCATATACAACAGGATTTTCTATCAAGGTATTCATTTATCAATGGTTACGTGACTGATTAATGATCCTGATCACGTGAATGCGAAAATAGAGAGAAAAGCCATAGATTCCCTGTCCTTGTTATTCACATTATACAATGTCCATTCACGATTGCCTGCTCAATTTCGGTGTAGGGTTGTGACAGTGCACTAGATCAGAGGACAGTGAAGTTGACTATGAAATCGACATCGATGCACTTCCGAAAGAACTTCTGAATATCGATGGTCCGCTTAAATATGTCTTTTTTCTTTTTCTTTTTTCTTTTTTCTAGTTGAATCAATCATCCTGGTTGAGAGCAAAAGAAGTGGACAACTCTGAGTTGCAGGCAAGAATTGAAAAAATGGACACTCATTTTGAACTGAAACAAACAAATTTGGCAATACAAGAGGCAGACATGCTACTTTTCTTACTCAAAATGGTCGCAAAGAAAGCTGATGAAGAAAAAGATCTTCCTCAAGTAAGTTTAGTGCATTGAATAAATGGCGTTGAACATAATTGGTAGCTTAATTAACAAATAAAGAGGCCTTGGCTGCGCTCTGTTCTGTTTTAAAGCACATATTAGGCAGTCAGGGAATGACAGAAGTGTTGCGGTGAACACGAGGCTGTGTCTCGTGTTTCTTCATACCTCTTGAAATGTTTACGTACTAACTTTGCTTTATATCCAGGCATTAACGTAATAATTAGTAGATGGCTCTTATCGGGTTTTAAAGTGCCAAATTGTGTTTCCAGTCGCATGATGATATTTGTGAATGAACTGAATAACAAAACAGTTTTTAATGATATCTCACCGCCGGGGTGGCGGTTCAAAAGTTTAGTCTAACATAAAGGGATTTTAAATTTTTCCGTGAGATCCACGCGTAATTATGCTTAAAGATTCCTAATATTCACGTCACAAGAAAAATCAACACACAAAAACGTTTTGTCTTCCCACGCCCTATTTCTTTTCTCCCTAGTTCGGCCAACGGTACGCAACTGTTATAATCTTATTGCTTAACACTTATTCTGCTTTCCTGCTTCATGTCTGATTCCGTCTAACGTGTATTCTTTCCTTGCTTCAGATGAAGAATCAAGTTATATCTAAGATCTGCGAGGTTCCGATTGATAAACTGGAACGGTTAGTCCAGGTTGCTGTTATCTTAAAGAAAGCCACTAAGGGTGACGCCCTTGTCTCACACGATACAACGGTATGACACTGATCTCCATTCCTCCAATACACTTGTTCTCGAAACGAAAAAAGTTCACGAAAGACGTTTTTGATAAGGAGTATAGCATAATAAAAATATGAATTAAATAATGATATCAACAAAAAGCTGTTCGCTCATTGAAAAGTTTTACCCACAAGGATACATTGATGTATTTTTTTTTTTTCAGTTCACTGTTTTGAACAAACTCAAGGAGATTTCGAACCGGCTTTCACTGGAAAATGTACAAAAACGCAGTTCTGAAACCCGTCTTTTTCTCAAGGGAGCAAGATTGTTATTGCATTGCACCACAAATATCATGGATTCCAGCTCCAGCCGAGTCCTTACGGGAAGTTTGTCTGCCAACTTTGATAAAGGGGAAGAGGTATTTTAAACGTAGCACATTCAAGTAAATGAGGCAATTTCTCAGAATTTTAAAGACCAGAGCCCAGTTGTATAAAGAACGGATAACGCCATCCAACGGATAAATCACTATAAAGCGGATAAGTGATAGCAAAACGTAGTGCGCTATCCAATGCATAGAGATTTATCCAACCTTCGAACAAATGGAGCCAGAATTTCAAAAGAGCAAACATAAAACAGGTGTTTATAATGGAGGGAATTCTGCGCTGGTGGCCTATTGATCCATGTCCAAGAGGTTTTGTAATCTTGCCAAACTGATCAAAAAGAGTCTTGAAAATGATAAGACAAAAAGAAATTAAAGGGCCGAGCTCTTGCTTTCCTCTTCTTGGTAAGTTGGGCAGGGCGTGGTTACACACCAATAAACCAAAGCAGATAACAGAAACAGCCTTCAATTCTCTATTATCAACAAATAGCATGATACCAGTTAGTTAAACTCCAAAGGAGTAAATTGGCGAGCTCTTTTAGAAAGAAAGTGATAGAAACGGTACAGCCAAGTAATACATCAGCAAGGTCTGTACCTTAACCCCGGCAGTGGAAATCAAAAATTCACAACTCCACTGAGCCTACAAATATGATGATTCCTAGGTGAGAAAGAGGAACACTGAATATCCCATTTCCCTCTCTTAAAGTAATAGAAATCTCCAGCCCTTTGTTCTTCCTCTTCTCCAGGAGTCGTTCCTGTTCTATTAAGAGGGACTGATAGTGTTATTAAAATTTTACGTAATTTTAGATGACTATGGGAAAGACAATTTCGGTCCGTTGCCAAGAGTTGACAGAAATGACAACCAACGCACTGCTATCGTTAAAATTACCAGGAGAAGAAAACACCACCATTCGAAATGAACGTCAAACGACGATACTCGGCAAACATGAATCAGATGACTTGAGCTCTTTTGAAATCAGCGATGGAAAAGCCAGCTTTGTATTTCCACCTCTGGATAGCAGGGCGTTGAAAACTTGGGTTGGAGACATCTCTGATGTTGGGGTAGAGGTTTGTGACTGTTTCAGAATAAAATTTCTTCATCACTCTGCACAGATGATAAATCTTCAGCTTTTGTCAATTTAATTTTAACGTCTTTTCCTTTATCTTGCAGATGATGAACTATAATTTCAATCCATATATGACGGACGATAGCAGCAGTAGAGTCAGATCAAAGGTTGTCAGCCTCGTCCTAAAAGATGGCACTGGGAAAGCTTTGAACACCACTGTCCTACCATCGGATATAGAAATTGGTATTCCAATTCCAAATTATGATCCCGTCAACAGCACTCGATCAGATCATTTCTTAAATCCTGGCAGGATGCAGTATCATACGATAACCGTTCTTGAGGTCGATACTACCATAAAACTGACCATTACAACCAAAACAGCAGCTTCTATAGCTGTGTATGTAAAATTCGCTGAACAGCCAACAGAGATCTCCTTCGATGAGGTGATTCATTTATCCATAGAGAATAGATCAAGTAGCACCGACTGTGAATTGGAAGGAAATTGCTCTCTTAGTATCGTCGTAGAGGGTAAATATCCAGGTGAATATTTCGTTGGCCTATTGGAGAACAGTGAATCTCGAAAAAAATTTTTAAGGTCTAGAGGTAGAAGATCTTTTCTGCCAGAGACAGCCACTCAAGAGAAGTGCGTTAAGTTCAAGGATCCTCCACCAGCAGTTGTTCCTCAAGTGGAGCATGTGATTTTTGTCCCTCAATATGACTCTGATAGGTCTGTTAACTACAGTTTGCAAGTTGAGACAATATGGTGTGCATTTTGGTCTGAAGCTGAACAGATATGGACAAATGAAGGATGTAAGGTGAGAAAGATACAAAGACAGAATGAAATAAGTCATTACATGCAAAAAAATTAAAAGGGAAGGAAATTACATTTCAGACCATTTACCCTAAGTTGTTCAAATATTGGTTTTAAGTTTGGAGATAAAAACAAATAGCTCTGGTGAATAGTCGCTGTATGTATTCAATATGTCAAGTTAATCCTGTTCAAAGGCTGATAGTTTCGAAAGAAACTGTTTGGGGCTGCGTCGGTGGGAGTAACGAAATAATTTGGATATATCAACAAAGTTGAAGTGGTAAATTGGCCACCGTAACGATTACAAAAGCTGATGTTTCGAGCGAAGGGCTAACGCTCGAAACGTCAGCTTTTGTAATCGTTACGGTGGCCAATTTACCATTTCAACTTTGTCGATATATCCAAATTAATCCTGTTCAAGATAGCAATATTAACTAAGGGATGTTCTTCAGAGCCAAGATACATTGGGCAATACTGTGTTATGAGTATAACTGAACTGGTATCAAATAAAACAACAAAATCAACAACTGCAATTGCAAAGAATGCTTTCTTAAATTAGCGAATAATTTACAGACAGTAACCCAGAGGAACTACTAAAAAATAGCCCCTGAAAAAGATCATGAGTAAAGTTTTGAGTTACCACCGCGTTGTCTAATATAAGAAAACTGTTAATTCTTTGCCGAGAATAAAGTACTCGAGCGAATTTTGCCACGGCTCTCAATCGTCAGTATCAGAAATTCCTGTTGAATATCCGTGTATATAAACTTTGTAGGAGGTGAGCTAAGTGACTCAGTTAGCTTGATACTAAAAATCGTTTTATGGAAGCCAAGTAGTTGTTTTTCTCTTCGACCAAAGGTAATTACAATAAGACCAGTAAACTGACAGCCATTAAATGGATGAACTCATTTTTAGGCTACCCGAGAATCAGACCATTCATCTCTGAGATGTCTATGTAATCACTTGACTGCATTTGGGGGAGACATTCTTGTTGCACCAAATACCATTGACTTTGAACTAGTCCAGCAGGCATTTGAAAATGTGGATCCCAGTGACCTTCTCGTCGTAATAACTTTGTGCTCTACGTTTTTGGTTTACTTTCTTGTTTTGGTACAAGCACGCAGAGCTGATAAAGCAGATGCCTCAAAGGTTAGTGTCAAATTCTAAATAGAAAATTATTCGTAACAACAGAGATTCTATGGGCCGTATTTCAAGCAACGATGATGCGATTGGTTGTCTGTGAAAATCAGAATAAAGGCTAACCGTAATTAAGTGAGAGAAAACATGAGTCGACCTGCGGATGAATTACAAGTAAAGAAATGATCCAAGCCTGCAAAAATTCCCGGATTCAAGTTCTTTTGAGCGACTTATTTACCTTAGCTCACCAGCAAAGATCGTTTCTTTTCAGTTCTTAGAAAACGTCAATAGCTTTAAATCAAGAGATCAAGATGCTATTGTGAAAATCCTACACTTACAATCACTTAGACAATTATCTTGGACGTTTGGAGATGAATAACTCCCAAAACGTATCAATGTGACCTTCATCTTTTCAGTATATATATATTTTTTGCAGCTATTCTAGAACACGCTGTTTAAAAGGCAATGCAAGACACCCCGTGAAACATTTTTTGAGACAAGCTCCGAGAAAATGGTTTCTGTGAGGTTAAATGTTCAGCTTGACGTTACATTTCAAATGGAGATTAACTTTCACTCAATTTACTTTTCTTTTCAAGGACAATCCTCTTATACCCTTGGCGGCGTATCAAAATGGTGATTACATGTACGAGGTATCCATAACTACAGGTGGATGGAAAAATTGTGGTACCACTGCCAATGTATCCATGATTCTTTATGGGACTGAAAACACGAGTGACGTTGTCAAATTGACTTGTGACATCCCATGTAACAGGAAACTTTTTGCTGAAGGCAACACTGATAATTTCCTTATTCGACAGGAAATGCCGCTGGGCGAGATCACTTCTATGCAAATCGGCCATGACATATCTGGTGAGGACCCTTCTTGGTTTATCAGCGAGATTTTAACTTTGGATTGTCAAACAGGACAGAGGTTGCTTTTCAGTTGTTACCGCTGGCTTGCGCTAGAAAGGGATGACGGTCAGACCACGAGGAGATTTTATGCAGATGATTTCAAAAATGAGGATAGATTCAAAAGAAAATTTAGCGCATTGCTAAGAAATGGTTTCGCTGATGATCACTTGTGGCTGTCGGTGATCCGGAAGCAACCAAGGAATCAATTCACCCGTGCTCAGCGTGCATCCTGCTGTTGGAGTCTTTTCATGTTGTCAATGGTTACATCCGCCATGTTTTATGAAACAGAGGACATAGCACAGAGGAAATTACAGATTGGACCTTTTTCGCTGACCCCGAGTCAACTTGTCATTGCGTTGGAAAGTGCCTTGGTTGTTGTGCCTGCAAGTCTGCTAATTGTGCTTTTGTTTCGTAAAAGCCAACTTAGGAGAAACATTCAAGGGAACCGGTATCATTTGGTAACAAGTAAAAGGAAAGTTTGGTGTTTACTTCCTCATTTCTTTGTATATATCGCATGGTTTCTTTGTATAGGTACTGCAATTACTTCCGCACTTTTTACAATGTTTTACTCTTTCATGTGGGGAGGAGAGAAATCGTCTCGCTGGCTTACATCTGTTCTGCTTTCCTTCACCGGAGAAGTACTGGTCTTTCAGCCCGTCAAGATAATCATTGCCTCTGTAGTCCTGGCATTACGGCACGGGCGGGGTAAGAAGTCAACAAATAAAAGTAATCCAACAGATGCATCAGAAATTGTGGATCTTTCATCGATGGATGTCGAACGAGTACGGAAGTATAGGAAAAATAAGAGGAGAATGTATGCATTTACGAAGGAACTCGTGTTTTCAGTGACTTTCTTCGTACTGTTATTGATTGTCTGTTATGGAGACAAGAGCAGGCAGAGATATCATCTACGAGGTGCTATTGAAAACGAAGCATTGTATTTCGACAATATTGGACGGTACAAGGTACGCATCTGTATATCTCGATCGATGCTTATGGTTTGTTTTACTGATCCAAACAATTGAAATGACTTTGCAAATATTTATGATCGTACGCACGCTCGGATTGGTAGATGGTTTATTTAGATGGGCTAAGTAAACACGATTATGATATCTTGGTTTATGTATTTCCCAGAAATATTGATTTATAAGAGAAATGGAAGGTTTTTTTCGAGTATTTACAGCGCCTCTTATAAACACTTAGGGGGTTCGGATGATTCAAGAAAGGCGTGCAAATCCAAGACACAGTCGAGAGTTTGCATAGTTTTATCCTAACTGCCTTCGTGTTTAGATGAAGCTATTTAAACACGGAAAATGTACTCTTCTGCCTAAATAGTGTCTAGATTCAAAACTTAAAAGACCATTGAATCAAGAAATACTAACTGAAATGTGTAAAAATTTTGTAGAGGGAAGCTCTTAATCTCTAGCCAGAAAAGATATTAATGATGTTCATCGTTCTCGTTTTGAAATTTGCACTGAAAATATTCAAATATGTAAAACTACCAGGTAACCAACGTGGCTCAGTTTTGGGGGTGGCTGGAGGACGTGTTTGTCCCAGCAATCTTTTCAGACGGCTCTTACAGGGACCAAGAGGAAAAAGGACTAGACTACACCAGCAGTGATCGATCGACTGTGGTCGGCATGCCTCGCCTGAGGCAACTCAGGGTCACGAAAGGTAAACATATACCGGGATTGGGAGGTCACAGTAGGATGACAATGACAACATACTTTGTAGTGTTTAGCTCATCCAAAGAAGATCTTTTTCTTCGTTTTCAATTACTGCTAGGATGTTTACTGCGTGCGCCATTATGACTTCAACATAAAAAGGAACTTGGTTTCAAATGGAATTATTTAGGCAGCTGAAAGATACTCAAAATGAATACATTCAAACAAGGAAGTTTGACCTCCAAACGAGTTAACATAGGTACATGCGAAAAACTTAAACATTTTACCGGCTTGTTGTAAAGACGCCAGTAGAGCAATGTCCTCATTGCAAGAAAAGAAATTATTGAAATATCCCCGGAACTTGGAAATTCGAAAAAAGGGTCTCAAGTCATTACTTTTTTTCAACAGATTCCTGTGTGTTTCACCAAATATTTAAAAGCATGTTTATCTCTTGCTACGGTCCCTTCTCCAAGAACGAAGAGGAAAAAAGAACTTGGATTGGCAAGAATAGTTCTTCAGTTCTGTGCCCAGAAAATTGGGAGTACAACGGAGACGGTGGCTTTGATACTTGGGGTCGTTTTGCTGTTTACAGTGGCGGAGGATATATAGCTAATTTAGGATACAACAAGGTCAATGCTAAAAGAATTATCAAAGACCTAAAAGAAAAATACTGGATTGATCGGCAGACCAGAGCTGTGCTGGTGGAGTTCTCACTGTATAATCCACCAAGTAACCTTCTTGCAGTGATGACTTACTTCTTCGAAGTACTTCCATCAGGCTTTGCCGGAATATTTAAGAGCTATGGAATTTTGCCTCTGAGTGCAACGAACCCTCAAGCCCATGAAACTTATTTGCTTTTTGCATTTTTGTTTGGCATTCTACTTGTTTTCTTCTTCATTTTCGAAACAATCAAACTCTGTCGCCAGAGCAGCTTGTATTTCAAGTCAGGGTGGAACTGGTTGAACATACTGCAGATACTCACTGCATTATCAGCATTGTTCCTCAAATGGATGAAAATCAAGGCAGCGACAAAAACGTTTTTCAAACTTAAAGAAAACCCATTTGTCCCCATTAGCTTCCATGACGTGTTACTTTGGTCTGACCTTGAAAACCTGGTCATTTGCATAGCTTCTGTGACTGGCACCTTGCGTCTTCTAAAATGTTTTCATTTCATGCCACAAATAATAGTTTTCTCGTGGACACTCCGCAGATCGTTTTCTTCGGTATCCTCTTTCTTCTTGATCTTTGTAGTAGTAGCGATAGGTCACTCTTTCTTAGGAGTCATCGCCTTCGGAACCAATATGTACATGTTCTCGTCATTCATAGAGGCCATTTCCTCGCAGTTTTTGATGCTTCTTGGGAAAAACATTCCAGCAAATGAACTGATCACTACAAATCCTATATTGGGACGTTTTTTCTTTTTTACTTTTGTCGCCAGCACGACAATAGTAATCGTAAATACGTTCATTGCAACCATCAATGAGCACTACGCCACCTCAAATTCTGACAAAGGAGTAGAAGACCTGGAACTTGCCGAGTTCATAACTGACAGGATTATAGATACTCTGTTTCGCCAGAAATCGAATAGAAACCAGTTTATGGCGGAATACGAGAACCACGAGCTCTTCGATTCTGAAGTTCTCTTAGAATATAGCTCTCTAGGAGGCAATACTACAAGAACCTTGTCTCCAACATCGCATCGTAGCCGCACACCTGAAATATCTTATAAACTAGAGGCAGCCACGTACGAAAGTTTTCAGCTTCAATAACCTACTGACTGGGACATTTACCAGAGAGGAGTACAATGAAAAATACAAGATTCAGGCGGCTATTAATCTGAGAAACCTCTCTTGTAACAAAATCCATTTTAAATTGTTCAGCATCATGAATCCAGGAACTGATGGACAGACAACGATTGCGAGGATCAGTGGCAACAACTATGACAGTTCACATTTTCATGATCTATTAAATTTGTCTTACAAAGTCCAGGAAAGGGGAAACTTATCTGAAAAGCATCCACTTTCATTTTTTAGATTCCAGGGTATAACTTTTGTAAATAAATAGCCATTGGTATTTTCTAACTCCTGATCCTTTATTCCGTCCTCTCGTCTTAGAGTTTCTAGGAGTAATCGATCGCATATGACTTTTAGATGTGGTAAGACTAAAAAGTGATACATTGGACGCAGGCGCAGATGAGTGTGTAACCCTTTTTCTGTTTACATTACAATTGTGCAGGAGAGGGGACGGGAGGGCCTTAGCCCTCCCACTTTTTGCAAGAAGGACTTTTCATTTTGTTATAGTATGAAGTACGTTGTAAGCTCGAAAGATGAAGAAACTGAAAAAAAAAATTGAAAAGCTGATTTCTTACACAAAATATGTCGTAAACTTTTCAAAAAATATCACATGGACAATAATTAAGAGCCCCCTGATTTCAAAATTTATAGGAAAGGATGGCCCTAGATCCCCCTACAAACTTGCTCCCCCGCACTCGTTTTCAAGTTCCCTCCCCCCCTCCATTTGAAAATAGTGAATCTTATCAGACAGTGTCACATACATGTTTATTCAAACTCATATATAACTACATAAATTTCAAAGGGAGAGTCAAGAGGTTAACCCTTGACTCTCCCTTTAAAAGAAAAAATGCAGTAAAAGAGGAAAAGAAGAAAAAATTCTTAAACTAAAGATATATCTTCCGCAATCAGAAAAAGATCACGGATGCTGATAAAAAGCCGAACAACAATCTTAGTTAAAAATACACGGCAATAGCTAAAAGTGTTTTCAAGGATTAACAGGGCGCAGATATCTCACGCGGGCTCAGATGAAAGGGTTGGCGAAGCTGAAGGTCGAATTCAAAGAAAGACCTTATAAAGTCACTAATTTATGCTAAGAACTCGAAATTGATGGATAAAACGTAAAATTAACTTTTCCTCATTTAAAAAATAACCCTAAGAATTTACGCCTGTACCTAATTAATGCTATCTATCTTATAACCTTAGTGAACATCATTCCTACCGGTGCTGCATTTAGGCTGAGGAAATGCAATTAAGCAACACATATTAAAATAGAAATAGTTATTGTGAAAAAAGTTTCAGCTATTGTGAAACAAGATATAAACCAAAAAGGTAAAACGAAATTTTAAACCGGTATTTCTCCGATATAATTGCTGGCATGGCTTAAAAGTTTTCAAAACGCATTGTTTAAATATTTGGCCATTTAGACCTGGTCCCTAAAGATGACTTTTGAATTTGATTTGTTCTCGTGTGGAGAAAGCTATGAAGCTAATTTTGGGGCATATAGAGGCCTTTGGCGGAGTTAGCCTTGAAAAAGCTCTCGAGCCGTCGGTTGCATATCAGCTAAAAATTTTGAGAAGGCGCACGAGCCTGGGAAGATCAGTCTTTAACAGATGTGAGCACTAACACCCAATCATGGGAGGGTTAATAACACATGGGTGGGCACATGACTCCTTCGCTCCCGACCAATGACTCACAGAATCCCAATCAAACTTCACCTTACAGGTAAGCCTCGTTTAATTTAGGTATTCTGTTTCGTCATTGGTCATTGGTCGCTACGGAGTCACGTGACATTTTAAAGCAGTGTGACTGCGAACTGAAAAGAAAACAATGATTTATAGTAATATGAACCTGCTTTAATAACATTCTCTCTTAGCCATCAAAACATACAAATATAAGACACTATCTTAGGTGCCACTAAATACAGCTTTAAGGAGCTCAGTTCCGAAATTCTCTCGAGGTTCCACTCATGACGAGCTTTGCCCACGCAATTATGAACTGTAAGAAAAGATCTCAGTTCGCGCCCACAGCACGTTCAAGGTGTTGCGGATGAAGTTTCTGTAATTACTTTTTGGCACTTTTCGGCGTTAAAATTGCATAGTTGGGGTAACCCAAAACCCTTAAGCTGACCTTTCTTGTCATAACTACTCCGAACGATGAGTTGGCCGGCTGAAGTTCCCGTGTCGCCACACTTTGGATTTCGTCGGGAAATATCTTAAATACATCGCATATGAANAGGAGACGGGACCTCCATTTATTCGTCCCTATCCGAGAAGACTAGAATATCTAACCATTTCTTGATGTTATAGAAAGGTAGCATATTCTTCTCAATTATTTTAAGACCTTGAGTGTTGGTCCGGCCGGGGCTCGAACCCTCGACCTCCCGCACAACAGTCCAGCGCTCTATCCATTGAGCTAACCGGGAGGAGGTTAGCTCAGTGGATAGCATCAACCAGTGTGGCCTTAATCCATCTGCTTATTGTATCAGGGGAAACAGCTTTACAAGGCTTAGAGTAACTAATAAGAAGCGGCTCTACATTACCATGAAGAGTATCTGTGTGCTTCAGATATTGCTGAAGATGCTTTACAATACAAAGACTTACATCTGGTGCATAGGCCTGAAACTCAACACAAGCTAAATGTTTACCCAGTCTGGAAGTTTTTAATAATGAGTTAATGGAAAACACACACTTTTCAGAACTTATTTGCATATAATCAATTGATAATGTGTGCAAAGTCTCGCGACGCTGTCCCGAATGCAACGCCATCAACTTAACCACTTTCAAAGTCAAGTTCTTAAAACTAAGTTTCACAGGTGGCCCAAGTTTAGCTAGATAGTCTAATACCACCTCGATATCCCAAGTTTCTTGGTACATTGGGAGAGAGGGTCTGCACTCAAAATTTCCTTTGAGGAAACGACAGACTAGGGGATGCTGTCCAAAAGTGTAATGCTCTGATGTAAAACAAACAGTAAACAAAGCACACCGTGCAGTGTTGAGGGCACTGTATCCAATCCTTGTGTCGTAAAGTTCTGCCAAGAGATTAATCCCATGTTCTATAGTTGCTGAAAAGGGATTAATCTCCCTTTGACAACAGTATTGCTCCCATTTAGTGATGAATGGTTTATATTGTTGTTTGGTGCTCTTTCTCCAAGACTGTAAAATGAGTGAGGTAGCTGATTCCGAAAGCCCTCTACCTTCAAGTGATTTCCTGAAAAGTGGCAAATCAGAAGTGTGAGCTTCTGATGTAGTGGATGCACCAAGTCTGGCTGTTGAGGTCGAAATAAGGTGTTTTTCTCTTTGGGGGGCACAAGGGTTTCCTGAACCAGGAGTCTCATCACCAATGGCCACCATGGCTGAGTTGGCCAGCACGGCACAACCAATAGTCCTGTGATCTCCTCGGCTTGAATTTTCTGTAACACTTTTGAGATGATATTAAAAGGAGGAAAGGCGTAAAAAACATAAGGTTTCTAAGAAATTGAAAAAGCATCAATAGCCATTGCTCCAGGGTCTGGTTGGGAGGCAACAAATGGCCTTAGCTGGCAATTAAGCCTAGATGCAAATAGGTCAATCTGAGGCTCAACATGAAGTTTCTTAACGGCTGCGTGAACAATTTTCCTGTCTAAAGTCCATTCAGTTTCTTTTCTAGATTTCCTGGTCTCTGCATCAGCTAGAGTATTCGCTTTCCCTGGGATATGTCTTGTGGTTAACCACATGTTATTGTCAAGGAACCACTCTCAGAGCGTACGGGTTAAATCATTTCGCTTTCTGGAATGGCTCGTGCCCATTTTACCTAAATCTGACACAGCAGTCATATTATCAATTCGCACAAGTGCATGCTTTCCTGATAACTCTTTATGAAACGCCTTAAGAGAAAACAACACTGCAAGCATTTCAAGATAACTGATGTGATTAGAAGCCTCTTCTGGAGTCCAAGGTCCCCCAATCTTTGCATTATTGAACACTCCTCCCCAGCCCTCTTTACTTGCGTTGCATCTGTGTATAAAGTGGCCTCTGGCTGAGGAGGGCTTATAGGATTGTTTAATGACCTCGCTGAGTTTATCCACCCCTGCAAATCACTGCGAGTCAACTCAGACAGTTGCATAAATGCATCAAAGTTACCCTTGTTTAGGCCCAAGGCCTCAGTTTTGTCCATGTCCAGTGACCTAAAATGCAAAGGCCCTAGCCTTGCTGCTGGAAAATTTGATACGACGAACCCAAGGGTTGATGCCACCTCTCTTACTGTAGGGTGCGGACACTCCAGCAGCCCTTGACAGGTATGAATGATCTTTTCGGTCTTCTCAGAGGTTGGATAAACTTTCAATGTGATTGAGTCAATGATAAACCCCATGAAGATGATACGATGTTGTGGAAAAAAGGACGATTTTTCAGGGTGGACAGTAAACCTAAGGGAATCAAATAATCTGACAGTATCCCAAACATTTCTTTCACAGTCATCATAGTCATCACCCTGGAGATATGAGTCATCGATACGGCTTGCTGAAAGGTGTCCCAGCTGTCCCAGATGTGAATATACTGGTTTTAATAATTTAGTAAACTTCCTGGGACAAAATGCCAATCCATTTGGAAAGCAAACATATACAGTTTTCCACGCCACTGAAACTTCGGGTATTTTTGGTCTGCAGTGGCACTAGGCACAGAATAATATGCATCCTTTAAATCTATGGATGCCATAAAGCACCCAGGTTTTACCATTAATTTTGTAAAACAGTATTAAGTGAGTCCATTTTAAAAGGGTGATATTGTACATGAGTGTTTAAACACTTGAGATTTAAAATTACTTTGAAAGAACCATCCTTTTTGGCCCTAGTGTAAATAAGAGAGATATATTCCCCTTTTCCGTGACTACTTGGGGTAATAACACCCTTAGCAAGGAGTTCAACTATTTCAGTATCAATGACATGTTGTTTGTCCAAATCAAGGATTTCTTCTTCTTGGGGACTACTCTCTCCTCTTTGATGTGGAGTCCTGGTAAATTCGATTGGCTGGCCTAGTGTCATTTGCAATATCTCATTTTTAGTCTTCTTAGTTCTTGCTGAATGTCTTTCAGCTAAAATTTTCTGCAGCTCCTGTTCCGATAAATTCGGGAAACGGGCCTGTTGTGTTTCGTTTTCGTAGTGCTTGTTGGCTTGACTACTTGGGGGAAGGTCGAAAGCCAAAGAAAAGTTTGGTTGGTCTTCGATTTACCAATATCGCTTTCCGGAACTCACACGACGGAAATTTTACAGCTATTTTGAAACCGTCTGCACACGTCATTTTATTGAGCACGGTGACTAAAATGTACTACCACTTGGAACTTAATGCATAACCTAGCATACAATCCTTAAACGTTGGGGTTAGAAATAAATTAAGTGCTGACAACTGGCTTAATTCAGTATCACTGATCTATTTGCTGCCTGCTTTCCATGGATAACATTCTACTTGTGCAAAAAAAAAAAAGAAATACACGTTCCACATACGTTTTAAAATCTTATTACCACTCTTGTAACATTATACATCGTATAGTTTTTGGAAACTGTTCATAGCTAGATTTAACCTGTGCTCAGGAGTTAAATCCTGCAAATTCTAACTTCCTTGGAGTCATGAACTCTTTAACAACTTCTTCTGTGACTAGTTTCCTTCTCTCTTGATGTTCTGCAACCAGGGGCTGCAAAACTGAAATGAGTTCCTTCTTGATTTCCCCTGACAACATCTTTCCAGTAGAATAATCCTGAATAAATAGCAAGTGACCAGTGTAAGGAAACTACAAGGCCATTCCAATAAATTTGCAAAACAAATGCAGCAAGCAGCAAAATAAAAAGGTTCATCTTTATGTCCTTAACCCCTGACCCCTCAACCTTGATTAACACACAACTTCTAAAACACCATAGTCTTTGCACATTTACCTCTTTTATTTGGGCAAGTTTTTCATCATCCTCAAGGAAGAAAGTGAGATACTGATAAGCAATATCTACTGTTATATCTCCACCATATTTCCTGTGATCTTCCACTGTATCACAACCACCAGAAAAAGCATACTTATTAACCTGAATAACAACAAGAATTCTGTGTAAGTTGTACTTAAGAACTTTTATTTTCTGACCCTTGTAATGCACTTGTTACAACACAACTAATATTTGACTACTACTGGTACATACAATGATCTTTTCAAGACAGATTCCCTAATTAATAGGAGATGAGGGAAACAAATTATGGGACTTGCTCTGTGTCTAACATTTTCTCAGAGAAATAGCAAAAGGAAACTCCTAAAAAGGGGTACAAAGAGGGGAGATATCTACTTAACTTTAGATTTTTCAGCCACTAATTTATTGTTAAGTGACTGACAGACTCAGTCAAATACTAAGTTCAAATTAATCAGATTATTTGACTCGTGCAATCCTGACCGACTTCAACACCTTTATATACTTTGGCTAAAGTCACTGTGATAACTTAAACGCCTCAGGTGTAACAAAGATCAGCACCACTGCTGTAATATAAAATCATACCTTCTTTTTAATCTGAGCTGGGGAATCAGTGAGGAAGATGGAAGAAGTTGGATCACTGGAGCTCATTTTTGTTTTTGCACCTTGCAGAGCAGGAAAGAACGTGGAAAATATCAGAGATGGTTTTGGGCAACCCAGCCGTGGAGCAACATCACGAGTCATCCTGAAGTAAGGATCCTACCCATTAGGAAGCCAAAAAGCAAAAACAAAAAAACAAAAAAACCACAAGTAGCATTCAGTAAAGACTGGGTAAATCACATTACTTCACATTACACACAACTATATGTATGTGTACCAACGCAAAGGAGTTAGTACAAGTTAAAACTCCTCCCTTAACCCCACTGAAAAATACCATTGCAAATGCTTCACAATGAAAGGATACACATAGCAAACATAACACGACAACACCCTCTATTTGAGAGGATGGTCTTCATTCAGTTACTACAAGCATTACCTGGTCAATTGCACAAGGAATAAGACATGGGATATCTTTTCTGCTTCCAAATGTGTGAGGGAAAGAGTGGCTAAATGATGGAGCTGCTTGAATGGCAGGAAAAGCTATTTTACCTGAAATGAAGTTATTAGAAATACATCTGTATCTAAACATCTGAAACTCAGTGTAAATGAAGATGAGCCTGGATGGAAAACAAAGGTTCAACGCACAAACAAAAGTGAAACATTCATATAAATGTCATATAGTCAAATGGACTCCCTATGTTTCAAGAAAGATTAATCAAAAGTGAGAAAAGCTAGATGAAATTAATATAACAATACCAAAAGCTATTAAGTTATTATGTAAAAATAATGCCTAAAAATTGAGAAGAGGCATCTTGAGACATACCTATACAAGAACTCTCATCAAATCCAAAGATTGCTTTAACTTGGTTGTAAGTTACACACCTTTGTATTTTAATAATGTTCTTGTAAAACTCAGAGCTACTCCTAAAAGTTGGTGAGAGAAAAATCTATAATTAAAACATTTTGCCACACACATCCTTCATGAGAATCGTCACTATAATAATACTCAATGTTCAGTAATAGTATAACAATTACTACATTATTACTATAACTTTATCAATAGAGCAAGCTTTGGCTTTTAAAAGCAAAAAGAAACTGGTTTAGAAGTGCAGGTGCATGTACATGTAGTTTACTTCTTACCCTATGTAATCAATGTCAGAGAAGATAAAAGTCTTCTTCACATCAAAGCCAACAGCTATGATATCTTTAGCATTTTCGTAAGCCAGTCTGTGAGTTTCTTCACAATCTAAGTCCTTCAGAAAAAACTTTTCATCGTCTGTGAGTTGAATTACCAGAGGCACATTGAAAGCATCTTGAAGATATCTGAAGTAGAACCAAAATCCCTGTTACACATTGAGCCCAAATTCAAGTTTTTCAACACATAAGCACACCTTGTGCTTCCTTTACCTTCCTTGTTTGCAATGATATTTTTCCTAGAAATCCTTTACCTTCCTCGCCAATGAGTTCAGTCAGTTATTCAGTTGGTTGTGAACCAGAAGGAAAATTGTCATTCAGTCTTGGGTCCAAATCCTCAGGGGCACAGTAATTATATCCCAGGTTCACTTTTAAGTTTATAACATTTCTTGTTCCCATGAAACTGGTTTTTATAATAATTAACTAATATGTAACAATTTGTCCAAACCTGTTTGCACAGATTTAATAAATCAAAGAGGGTGCATGGAAAAGACCGATTTGCTTCTTAAAGATTGCCGTATTCTTGTGTACCCTTGCGAAACAGGTTTCAGCAAAAGTCAAGAATCCACCCCCTTCAGGTTGAATGAATTATCCATAGTGACTTACTTTGTGAAGATAAACGGAATCAGATGTCCCATGTGCATGGCTTCTGAAGATGGGCCTCTTCCAGTATATAAGTAAAAAGGCTTTCCCTTTTCATACATATCCAGGACATAGTCAAGATCCCTTGAACAAGTTTAAGGTAATAATTAATAATTTGTAGAATTGCTAAATTACAAGTAATTTGCCTTAATTATAGGTAATTTTCCAAAATAAGCTGATAACATGTTATAGGGGAATCAAAACAGTACATCAACTTTGTCTCATTGGTGAAACCCTTCAGGCTAACCTTAGCCAACTAAGATTAAGCCTGAGAAGCAGTTAACAGGGACCGTTAAATTAAACACCTACTTTGAAGGCCACAAAGAACATCACCAGATGACAACCCTTACAAAATACAACCAACACACTCACAAATGGATCTCCTCATTGATTACTTTTAGTTATACAATTTATCAAAAGCCTTAAGATAATAACAAGTCCCACTTTACCTGTGTGAAAAGAAGACACCCCTTCTTAACAAATGATGTGGTGCTTTTTCCGTTAATTTCTCTATCTTTTCCTTGTGTTTTTCTTCCAATTTAGAACAACCAAAGTGCCCTGTTGATTAATTAAACAATCATTTTGATGGAACAAACAAATTTTCATTACTTTAACACAGAAAGGGAAATTAAGTTGCTTCACCCTAGCTATAAAGGTGTATTCACCGAATCAAAATATGGCGTCCAATTTGAATTACCATTGTTTTTGATTTACTAGCCTCGTCTTCACGTGGAAAACACAAAAGGATTATCACATGTGTGAGAGGCTAGTAAGTCCAGAACAATGGCAATTCAAATTGGATGCCATATTTCGATTTGGTTTATAGTGCTGGAAGCACCTCTATATCATACCTGGGTGTGTTTTGGGTGTGTAAGTACCAAGTCTCCAATTTAAGGTCCTGTTCTAGAAATAATTTCCTCTCAAATCTATTCATTTTCAAAACAAGTAAATTTTGTAGCTGCTGAAAGCGCTTTTGTCCTCCTCCTACAATATGTCTCGAAAATGGTTTTTAACTATGTACAAAATCAAGACCTCATTGGCCGGTACAATGATACGAGAATACGAATAATGGCGAGGAAGTCCAACCTTTGGCCTAGTCTGACTATTGTTATGCATGATGAAAGGAAGAATATCGTACTGATCCTTGTTTACCATTAATAACTTCTTTTCCTCTCTTTCAACTAATACTGATCGAATATTCTTAAGTCAGCTAGACAATATAATAACGTTAACATAAGTCACGTGATTGAGTATTCAGCTGATCATAGATCGATGGAAGTTAGCACGCCGTTTATACGCTTGGAATATATCACTGAGGAAATAAAGCTATCAAAAAAAATATGACAATATAAAGTAAATCGATACGAGAAAGTGAACTCACTGATAAGCTTGTCGTAGTCGATTCCCTTGTTATCCGCTGCAACAACCTTCTCCATGGTCACAATTTGTTCTGTTTCTCCATCCGCTACGTTTTCTTTGTTACTTTCCTCGTTTGAGGCCGCCATGCTTAATGATATGTTCCTTACACACTTAAAATTTGTAAAATATTTACCGAACTTTCCTATCTTTACAAGAAATTGAAGCAACATAAACTAACGGTGTAAAAATAAATAAATTTCTTGGAACATTTCCATAATCCTCTTCTTCTTACATCGCTAATGAGCCCACGAATAACAATCTTTACGTGTATGCTGTACTGAATTGACACCTTGCCCAACCTTATAGTAACTCATGGTCCCTTGGGGAAGAAATAGAGAAGACCCTGGTAACGAGGGCGGTTCAGGGCTACTGAGGGGTTTCTCAGGAAACTTAGGAAAATGAGAACTGGGAATACGTTTCCCAGCCAAAGTGGAGTGGGTTGGACACATCCACGATTTTACGATCCTGTCAAAAAGAATTCATTAAATACCTACAAATAAATCTTTGCTTTATTCTTTTATAATTTTGATTTCAATTATTTACAACACTTCTAGTATAAAAATAACTTTACTCCTCAAACAATACCCAATTTAAAAGTATGATTATACCCTTTTCTGGACAAATTCATTATACCAACACTTCTTTGAGCAGGAAAGGAAGGGCCCTAAAAGAGTACCCCTTCCACATATTCATTTGATCACTCCAAATCAGGGTGGCATTTCAAAGGCATGATTAATGTTGCGTTCATGATGGGTGCTATCAAAAGATAGGGAAATGTGAAATTGGGGATGCCATCATTCAGGTAGAGGCTGACGACATAAACTCTTACTTTACATTTTACTTCACGAGTGCCTGGTAGGCAATTTCTCTTTTCCATAATTAAACATTGTTGGGCAGAGGGGTGACAAATATAAGTTGAAATATCAACCAAAGGCATTACAAAAGACTAGAAGAAATTTTAAGGTTATCAGCAAAGAAAACTGATATCAAGATCTTGGGAAAAAAATGAAAATGATCAGGACATTTTCCCACCAAAATGACTTTTGCAATACATTGAATATCAATAGCTACAAGCTCCTTTTGAAAAATGCTTTGTGATGACTCAGAGACCAAAACATGTGCTTTCATCAGAATAAGCACAAGACATTTTTAAGGGTGAGTATTCTTTCTAATAAAAGGTCAACTTCTTTCATCCCACAATATCAGAAAAACTTCAGTGTATCCTACATCACTTAACAAAAGAGAATATGCACACAAAGTTGTATACTTTCTAAATACTGGAGATGCATTATTTTGCAAGTAGATTTTATTTGATCTGAGATATTTTTGCATATGTTCTCACAAAAGAAATCTTTCAGTTTAACCAAGTCTAACACGAGAGTCCGTTCTAAGTTAAGTTCTTACTTTGTCTATATACATAGCAAAATCTGTAATTTTATGGGACAAGTATGTGGCTAAAAAAAACTTTTTTTTTTCAATAATACTTAGCAACATGGTGTGCACAAATTTCATAGAGCAAAATGTCAGCAAATTGCTAATGGGGATTAGTCTCAAAACTCTGGAAATATCCTAGGTTTGAATCACTATTGATAAATTCAAAGTGTGATCACGTCAATTCTGCAAGCGCGCTTGAAAGTTAAACAGTCTTCCCTGATGACAGCTTTTTTGTTTTAAATATCTAGTAGGTGTTGAAATCCACTCTTTCAATTCTTGCTCCCTCATGATATCTTTGAGGTTTAGGAGGTAAACTTTACCATGTCATGAATCTAAAAAGCAACAAAAGAATTCAAAGGGATCATTAGATAGGAATTAATGTCAATGAATTATTTTTAACTATTGGTTCAAAAATAAAATTCCTCTAACAGCAAAATGAAATACTGACACCTATGTGTAAAGGGAAAAACTCTTTAATAGGTTTCCACATCAACGAAAAAGCAGCCATCCTTGGGATTTATTTTGACTTTCAATTTTCTTAAGAGAGGGCTAAAGATGTTCTTTTGAGTCATGTGGAGTCAAGATGGCCTATTTTGCAGACTGCTCTATATATTGACGGGCTCTTAAAACGTAACGTTCTTCACCTGAGAGATTTCAACATAAGGGCTCCATTAGTAATCACCTGTTTAGAGGCAGCAACATTAAGCGGTGATTCACCCTCATAGTTTGTTAGGCTTGGATCAGAACCAGCAGCCAATAACAAAGCTACCACAGATTCCATACCCCGCCCTGCCGCAATATGAAGAGGTGTCACTTCACCAAATGTCATAGCATCTGGGTCTGCATGGCACTGGTACAGAAGGCAGTTGATCATGGACAGATTACCTGCCTCGACTGCATGATGAAGTGGGGAGCGTCCACTCTTACCATCCTGCAAAGAAAGATGTTGAAAAACATGTTAGACTACAACTTTTATCCTTCAAATAAGCCAGTTCCTTGGTACTTCCACCCTAGGTCGTGACAAATGCAAAAATTTGCTCTCATTTGAAGATTAGCACCTAAGCACAGTCTAAGAACAGGAGCCAAGATGAATGCACCATGGGCCAACTTGTAGGGATCTAGCACTCTCACTACAGCACCAATATTGTTCCCAAGGATTTAAAACAAACAAAACTACCATGACTGTAGATGTAACTCACCTGAACGTTAACATTAGCCCCAAGAGACACCAGATAAGAAGCAATTTGAACATTGCTTGAAAACACAGCCTTGTGTAAAGCAGTATATCCTGGGGGGAAAATTCAAAGTGTTTAACACAAAAATTTTCTACTTCCATATTAAGAAAATACCAGGAAATGAAACCTTAAGCTTGAGTTTCTTCTGATCAAATCCCCATTAAGATGAACAGACAACTTTAATAGGAGGTAACCCTGGCAAATTGACAAGTTTAATGTAAACAATGGGAAAAAGAAAACAATTCACAAAAACGAAACTTCACACTTGCATTTTTTCTTTTCCGCCTAGTTGGGGGAACCCCCGCTAACACAATCAACCGGTTATGCTTCCACAGCACATTTTAGTTTCCCTTTCAACCACTAGGGAAACCCCCGTGCAATTGGAGTCATCAACAGAAACCAAAACGTGGGCGAAACGCACGAAAAGGACTCCTGCGCAATTTTACATGAGAGAGTCAAATAAGGCTTGACTAAAATGGACGATCAATATTCTTTTCCTCTTACCATCAAAGTCTCGCTCGTGAAGCATGTTATATACTTTCTCGTTGGTCTCGTCACCCCATCGTTTATCGTGCAGGGGTCTTACGATCTCCTTTACGCAGTCAATATCTCCTTGTTCGCAAGCTAAGTGTAAAGCTGTTCTCCCATGGCGATCGGGAATATTTAGCCAAGCTCCGGCTTCCAGAAGTCTGCGGATTGCGGCGGGCTGTCGGGTGATTGTCGCTAAGTGAAGAGGCGTCTGAGACAGAAAAAGTTGTATAAATAACACGCAAATATATTTAACCGAGAAGAATAAAGATCATTAAATTTTCAAACTACTGATTTTCCTCGAAAACGCTTATCAAACTCTGAGGTAGCCTAGAAGAAATGCGCCAAACATGCTGTGGTTTTGCTTTGTTTTGTTTACCTGTTTTAGATCATTGGGAATGTCGAGGCATTCTCTACACGGTGCAACTGAGATTATCGCATCTGTTTCCATTGGTTTCATGTTAATAATCGACAAATGAAGAGCTCTGAAAGCAAAAAAGAGAATGACGATGAAATCCTGTTGATGCATGTTAAGAATTTCAGACTATTACATACATCCACCATTTCGGGGAAAGGAACATCTACGAGATTGATATATGACGATATTTTTTAAACGAAAACATGGGAAGTGTTTTACAGTTGTTTTAAACGTTAGTTTAGAAAACAGTGTTTCATCCATAACAATTTCACAAAATTCAGCCTTTTCTTCGTTGATTCAAGTGAAATCCAATACCTCTCCACGCCAGCGTTCTAGAGGAAACAGTTCGTTGTACATATAATAACGCAACTGAGAAAAATTTGGTGGGTTTTAAATTAAAGATGTCTTCTTCTCCGACAAATTAGTATAAGGGACAAAACAACGATAAAATTGCCTGTTTCGATCCTTAGTACCTTAGGGATCGAGTAGAAAGCAAAGCAATTAATCTGAAGGCAAAGGTCATTAGACATGCATCTCTACAACACGTACATAATCTGAAGTTTGCAGAGAACGAATAAATTGGAGAAGAAATATTTCGTTTGGAAACTTACGTATCACCATCGTCGTCTTGAAGATATAACTGCTTTCTAACGTGGTCCTGAGCTAATAGATATCTCACGTCGTTAGTGTGAGCATAGTTTAGATAAAGTTCTTCGTTTTTCAAAAGCGACGAATCTTGTGATTCCGAGGAAGGGTGTCGTGTATCCGTTTCAGGGTCCTCGATCGACAAATTTTCGGTCCTTTCTTCTACGCTATGCAAGCTGGTTACTTCATTGTTTCTTTCTATGCTTCGAGAGCGCAATTCTTCGTCGTCACCAAATCCAGAGTCACACTGAAAGCTGGCGCTAACGGACTTTCCATCAGCTCGAGGAATGGATAACATTTTCTGTTGTAACAGAGCGGTTGGCATCGCTCCGCGCGGAATGAGCTTTCGTTGCCCACTTGTGGTTGAATCCATCTTACTGAACAAAGATTTCTTACGATACACAAACAGTTTACAGTTCTCTAAGAAACAAATTAATACAAAATAAAACTGGGCTATGGAATGCTTTACACACACTCTCACTCTCCTTCGTGTTAGAGGGTACCAGCAATGGCGGATGATGTTTTATATATCTTTGCTTCTCAGCAAAGGGAAATTTCCCTTTGCTGTCACATGTCTTACACTAACCAATGATCAAGCGATCCCGGGAATATTTCACCAATCAAAACGCTTCATTTCGGGGAGTTTTGGGACTTCACTGGGGTCCCCCGGGCGATCTTGAAAATCGTGCAGGAATGCAAAGGTGTCAGCTGATCTGCGCATAAACAATGAATTATTAATTAGGGGATTCCCCCGAAAAACGGACTTTCGCATTGCGACGTGTAATTGTACCTTGTTGACGTTAGAATATCGCGTCAATAGCAATAAACTATCGTAAATGAATTTCTGGAATATATTTGCTTTGAAGTTTTTTTTCTCGAGTTCCCGTCGTTACGAGCAGTTATTTTTGGCCAATATTTGACGAAAAGTAAGCAAATGAATAGAACCGCACCGACACCATTTAAGGACACGTCTCGGCAGGTATTTTTTAGAGGTTGCGAGAGGGAAAAAAATTCCCTGCCTGGTAAGCAAAAACTATGTTTTCCTAGCCTCAGCAAATCTTTATTTTAATCTTTTTACTTTATTTCAAAACTGAATTCATCGTTAAAATTAAACGTATTAATTTATTTGCTCGGGAATTCTTTCCACAACTTTAGTGGTTAGTTATTTGCCCGTAATGGTCACATGTCATGAAAGCGTGTGGGTCACATGTGATGAAGGCGTGTTAGTCACAGATAAACCGAATGTAAATTCTGTAATATGCAATTTCCATATCCTTCTATTTGAGACAATCTTTTCTTAAAAATTCATTTTTATTTGTTTGAAATAGAGATTAGTTGTTACTTATTCTTATAATTTTCCTTCTGAGATTGATACAGTAAGTAGATAGCTACTCTCAGCTACTTCGGTGCAAGAACATCCCCCCACCCTCCTCCCCCCCTTGATGTACCGACGAAGGTTCTTGTTGATATAGTGGGGTCATTGATGATCTTGACGCAACATCAGTACAGTAAAAAACTTTTGAAGTCTAGCTATGCTCCGTGCCAAACGATGACAGTGCGAAAGTTCAAGGGCCGTTGTTTTGCTTCCAATCACCTTGGTCGACCGCTATTTTCCAGAATGAAGTTTCATTTTACAGCAGCGAGCTAAATCTGTTGAATTCTTGGATATGAAAACTAAAAGATAATTTCCCCGGCTAAGTACGTCATTAGGCAATGAAAACTGAAAGTCTGCAAGGGACCCGAAGGACATTATCAACATGAAATGGCCCTTTGGAACCTTCGCTGGCGAAGAATCTGAAGGCAACTTTGGAGACTTTTGAGTCTTTCCCTCTGAAATGAGTGAACACGGACTAAAATGGAAATTTCATATGACTTTCCAACCGGCTGTGCAATTATTCAGCACCAGTGCGTACGTAACCTTGCAAACGAGGCTATTTTCACATCGCTGAAGGTAAATTCACCCTTTCAAAACTGAAAAGGCCGGAGCACGTATACGTGTGGCAGCAAGATGAAAACCTCGATGGAAACTGGCGAATTCAGGCTGAAGCATCTTAAACTCTCCTATGTGTCAATATAAACCGGCTGTCCTGCCTTGACTGCTTTAAACAGGAATAAAAATGAATGCTGAACGAATGACAAGTCTCGCCTGGGAAAACCCCTTCAAGCAACCAAAACGTGATGGGAGTGCCCGTATTATAATGAGTTATAAAAGGATTCGACCCCTATGACATCTTCTCGTTTTCCGTTTCTAACTAGGATTAGATTTGACAGATCTTATTATGTTTCGCAGAAACAGTCGTTGGCACAGTTCCCTTGTGAGTCTCTTGTGGCAATAGCACTCATTCTAGAACTTCCTACCTCGAAAGCGAGTGACATAAAGAAGTACCCACATAAAAGGTTGACAGGGACGTGCGATAAAATCAGACGGGACACATTGAAAGTGTCCTAAACCCCAAAAATTATCTTTAGCGGAAAAATTACGCTAAGGGACTGAGATTTTTCCCCCACCCTACACCCTCACGTGTAATTCCGATATTTGTGGCTTCTTATATAGGCGTGTTTAACAGTCTAATGAAGGAAACTAACCGCGATCATCTAACATGATACCGCTTACACCCGCTAAAAACATTCGTCTTTAAGTATCTAATGAAATATGGAAACGGCCTGTTTCGTTCTTAAGCGAGAGTTAAGAATTAGTAACACCTCCTGGCTAAAACTCAATTTTTTAATTATTCCCCAGAATTTTGCTATATCATCATTATTATCATGATCGCTGTAACTGGGAGGAGGGGGAGAAGGTGATGTCAGGGGTGGTTTGTGGAGGTTTCAGGGGCGTTGCAGTTACTTAACTCCTCTTCCCACAAAAATTAGAAGGTGCATCCCTGAAATAAGTTAACATTCTTCTCTGATATGACCATGGTTGGCAAAATCTGCTAACTGCGCTTTTAGACCTTTCCCACCACAATGAGGATAAGACTTAACGGGTAATAAGACAAACCAGGAGCCTATTAATGGGCTCCTGACGTAGAAAAGGGCAGGAAGGGCGACCAAAAATGGCAATCAGTACAGAAACAAAGATGAACCACAATAGGATTTTCAATCTAAGACTTCCAAAAACTATATTCCTTCCAAGAAAAATTTAACTGATCTTTAACAGAACCCAGTATGTCATTTTATTTTATCACTTAATCAATGAATGACATGCTATGAGAACACCACACAGACTAGCCCTGTATGTATCACAATAGAAATGTTCAAGGGCCTTTGAGATTTTTAGGTGTAAGTTGAATGTCACTTCAAATAGGCATATAATAACTTGCAAACTACTTGCAAACTACTTGCAAATGCTAACATTCTCCAAGAAAGAAAACTTGTCCCTCCCTTCTCATCCATGTTCAAAAAGACATACAAAAAGACAAACCAAAAGAGATTGTCATATTTTTAGCAGCCAGGAAGGCTTTTTGGGCTCTGTATTTACAGTATAAACTACTTTAGCAGGATTTCAAAATTGTATGGGCTTCTTTAAAAAAACCTTGACTAGTGATGCTCTTAGGATACTTGCCATAAAGGGGGAAAAGGTTCACATAGGAAATGCAATATCTCATTATTAACTACCTAGCATGTGAAATTAGTTTGAAGTAATTTTGGAACATTCTGAACTAAATAACATGAGCACTTTTCTTTGTAATAGGTAAAAAGATTTTGAGCATAATATTTGACATCTTTTTTAAACGTTTTTCAAGTATTACAGCTACAATAAACAAAATACTTGCAAATGCTAACATTCTCCAAGAAAGAAAACTTGTCCCTCCCTTCTCATCCATGTTCTGCACAAGGTGTAATTCCTTTTTGTGTAACATAGCAGCCTTACGTCTTTGCATGAGATGGGCAGATTGTAAATGATCCTTTTGAGGCTTTTGCAGTTGTTTCCCTTTCAGTGCAATAACATTAACTAAGTTATCATTGATGTACACCTCTCTGTTCTTGCTTTGGACAGAATTTTCATATGATTTCTTGGTCTCCAAAAGAATGTTGTTCTGGACTAGTTTTTGTGGAGAGTACAGCACCCAGCGCAAGTACACACCCAGTAAGCCCACTGCAACACCAGTAAGATGAGAAAAACAACCATCTAAAAAACAAACAATCCAAAAATCAAACAACAACTAAAAGAAAAAAAAAACTGAGAGGAACATAATCATTGGATGCTCTTAAAAGACTGTTACAGTAATAGCCAATAATTGGTACAATCTGAAGGTGATTTCAAAGATCCTCTGAACCCTTTGCACCCTGACATCAGTAGGCATATTCTCCATACTGTTCTCTGTACATGTCCTAGGGTGTATAACAAGGAGAATTTGTTTCACAATAAAGAGCTTCTGTGTTGCTGATCATTTCCTTTATTCTTGTGTGATTTGGGGCAATTAATTACTGTAAGGAGAAATTAGATGTTAGTCACCCTTAAGAGGTCAAAGGGTTGATTTGTCAAAGAAACAATAGTCTGAAAGTGTTTGTATCGATCAACATGTACATTATTCAAACAAATGTTGTGCGTTTTCTTAGTGACTGAGTTGTAAAGGACACAAATGTGTATTTTCAATAACAAATTGTTATATTTTAAGGTCATTTATTTTCACTGCTAATGATGTCTGCAAAAAGTGGATTCAAATTTGAACCAATCCTTATGCAAAACTGTTCAAGTTACCTCTAAGTTCCTTCTCTACCAACAATGACCGCATTGTCCTCATACTTAAAGGCTTTCTGGAAAGAAACCAAATTTAGTAATAGTAAGCTATCCAGTCTCAAGAGACAGGATTTCCATTAGTCTGTTCTCCAAACAGTGCTTTTCATTTTATGGCAATCCAGAAAAAAGTTCTGTGAAGAAGCTCCTAAAAATATCATTACCTGAAAGTTTTGTTAAAAGACTTATGAACAAGTATCACAGAGTTCCCAGCATGTTAAATTGCCACAATTTGTTTTTTAACTTGATCGTTGTCTACTTTCATGACCAGTCCTCTATGACTACTAATGGACGGCTTGAACTCATGTAAGAATTTCTTTAACGCATCTAGTGTGAATTACCTTCGTAACTGTGAGTACTCTTACTCAAGGCTCTTCTTGAAATTCCCAAATGGAGATATGTTACTTTCCTCTGAACCACCATTCATGTGGGTATACCCCTCAGAGTTACTTTGCCTATTTGCTTGTTTATTTAATTCACCCTCGGAAAACTGCTCAGTTTCATCCTCGTCTAGATCCCTTTTCATCTGACCAAAACATCCATCTTGCCTCTGCCAACTGAGAATCTTCTTCAGCCATTCAGCCGAAAGAAAATCACCGTAACCCATAGAACCACACACCATGGCTTGTTCCATGAACAAGTCCCTATGATAATTATTCTTTTCTAATGTTCTTTTCTGCTCAATTGCCAACATCTCAGGGTACATGTTTGAACAGATTCGATTGTAAATTCCCTCTAGCCCTCCTTTTATGTTGGATTGTTCAAGACGTTTCAGTAATACTGGTGTACAACCTACGATTGGAAACACTGTTTTTATAGTCATACTCTACAAAAACTGGGAAATAATTTTGAGGCACCTGAAATAGAGGTGAAGTGTACATAACATCTCATGATCTGTTGAATGGTGACACTCATCTTAACACTTACTTGCATGAGCATGAAAGAGGGGCCTGAGACAGAGCTGAATAATGAAATGCTACGTCAGAGGGCATGCGGTCAACAA